CATCAGCAGTGGTTTTCAATGGCAAGGGAGCAGTGAGTATGGGTCAGACGTTCGGTATGAACCATCTAGAGGGTGAGTGATCAAATGTCTCATGACAAGTTAGATGGTTAGTGTGTGTGTGTGTGTGTGTGTGTGTCAACAGTGTATTGGGGGATTAGTTACACTAGAGAAACTAGTGGGGGAAAACCGCTCCAAGGCTGTATGTCTACTGCTGAGCGATCCAGGTCCTTTTATACCTTGCAGCTATCCCCTTTGGAGCATCTCTACATGTCCTCAGTCTGCTTCCTTGGTGTTCCAGCTTGTTCCTTCGCATTTCATGTATTCCGAGGTGTCACAACTCGTCGAATATAGTTGCCTTTTTGGGCCCAAATTGTGTCAAGGTGTGGTGACTCGCGAACCGCTACCTTCCTAATTCGTCCAAAGTCCGTTGAGGAGCGATGACTGAGGTCTGAACCTGGGTGAAACATGTGCAATATGTCAGGTGCGAGGTATCAGGGACATGGTTGGCATGGATATTGGTGACGGCACGTAGAAGTGGTCCGATGTGCTGGTGCGGGTGCGATGCCATGGGGTGCTGAGATGAAAAAAGGTGTGGTGAGTTGGGAAGTTGTAGCTGCTCGGATGATAAAAGAAAGGTCATTGCAGCTTGTACTTGGTTGTGAGTTGTCGTATACGCCGGGGCATACACAGCGCATGTGGGAGCCCCACAGCATGAGGTAGGCATTGAAGGATCTGCTGATCCCAAGAGCAAAAACGAGCATCACAACCCCCCATTGCATTCTTCTGACACTTGTATGTGTAGCCAATTAACCAGAAAGTTAAATCAACATCAATGACTTGTCATGGGCAATTCACAACACCATCACAAGTCAGATAATGGTTGCAGTTTGGCATTGGGCAGCGAAGCCTGTGTGTTTTACCCAAAAGATTGAGTGGGTCCTATAAAAAGAAGTCGGGTGAATAGATCTGTGGGCTTGAGAGTTCTGTTTTTTAGAGCAGACCAGACAGATTTGGCACAAATCCAGAATTATCCATCCCTGTAATGATATGACTGACCCAAGGACTTTAGGTCATCCTTGAGCTCATAAAGCAAAGTTTTAACTTGTATTTGAAACCACCCAGGGAAAGGTACTTGCGCCTCAGATCCAGGCACATTTTTATTGGGATCTGTCTCCCCATCCTCATTATTCCACCACTCAAAAATGAATTTAAGTTGTTTTCATTTTCCAAATCGGTAATAAGGCCCAACGGAGACAGATCCGATGTGTTTAAAGCGGAAGGAGGTGGGGAGCAGACACCACATCGGTGGCTGCATTCAGTTGCACACGTGCTCAGTCAATGACCCCACAACCATGAGAGTTGCCCAAAGCGGCAGTAGGAACATTTTTGCTTGTAAATGAAGTACATGGAGTTCGCATGGAGGGTGCAGCAGTCTGCATATTGATGTCATGTTGCACAGTAATGGGGTGGGAATGGAGGGATGCATCAGCATGCACAACCTGGAAGGAGTATTATCATCAATACACTTGAATCTTGGTGGAAAATGAGCATGCACCATGGTTGCCAATGGCTCTCCCAGCTCATTCCAATGTGTTCCATTGTGCACTGAGTTACTGGGACTCTGGATTTCAGGCAGCAGTTGAACATTGAAAGTGGGGAGGGGAGTAGAAGGATGGCTTTGAGCATCCCCAGAAGCCACCACATGTATTGCTTGCGTGGGAGATATGTCCTTTGGCTTATTTTTGGAACCTTTCAGCTGTCCACATGTGCATTTTGGTGGTGGCTCCGGTGTGGATCCAGACCCTTCAGAGGTTCCAAATGGGGCTGGGGGGATGTAGGAGACAAACTTGAGTTCAGATGGCACCATAATCTTCAGCAGCAAGGGACCAGGAAGACAGAGGAGATGACCTACGGCAACTCTGAACAAAACCGACCCACAGAGTTCATCAGACATGGAATCCAAGAAGTCAAGAAAGAAGGAATCTAAACCTTCTGAATCAGACACATCCAACTCATTGTTGGATAGTAGTGGAGCATATTGGAAGGAACCCAATTATTCCCGACATGGACAGTCTATGCTTTAACAACACTGTTCAGTTTTGGGGGATACAATGGTATACCATCGTTTGGGGAGTAGTACTGCCATCATCAAACAATGTGTTCTTGCAGAATATGATCACCAGTCTGCAGAAGCAGGTTATGGAGTTGCAGAAAGAGTTGACATCTCATCTGGTTAACCTAAGGGTTAGTGAGTTACACATGAAAGAACTCGAGGTGGAGCTGGTATGGGTCAAAGGAGAAGTTGAGTCGCTGGACGAGACATTATACAAATGAGACAAGGAGATCCACGTAGGGCAGGAGCATAACCGCAGCCTACTCAAAAAAGTGGATGACCTCCAATATGAGGTACACACCATATATCAGGATCACAACATGTTGCAAGATCGCTTACATGAGGCAAATGAGGCTGACAGTCAACCACCCAGAAAGACCCCACAATCTGTTAGTGATGTGGATGTGAAGCATGAAGATCATGCTCCGACTAGAGACATGATTCAAGGAAAGTGTGACAAGATAATGCCATCTAACGAGGTAGTCAATGAGCCAGGGCTCATACCAGGCGAAGTAAGGATGTTACCCATGCAACCTTGGGAACAAGCTGTGAACAAATATGCACTGCCGATTGCGACTATTCTGGTGGCACCCAAGGGTGCCACTACTATTCCATTACCATTGCAAGTAAATCAGAACAATTACATTCCAGTCATGCCACCACCTGCACTGTCTACTTACAAGCAACTAGACAGGAGCATGCAGCCATCCACAGTAGACAGATGGCGACTCATACTTGCCTACCAGATCATCCATCCTATTTAGATATGTGGGCACTATCCATTTACTGCATGGATCAATGGGACAGAGACAAACAATTGGACCCCAACTGGTATCTGCTACGATACTATCGCATGCCCAACTGGAACCAGATGGTACTAATCAAACTATTCCGCAACAGAGCAGAGCATGAAGTGGAGCTTCTGTGATTTAAAATAATGACAGACCCAAGATGGGATGCACCTATAATCGATATGGCAAAATATCTACAGTTCAACTGTATGCCCATGCATGGATGTCCATGGAAGGACACCAAATATTCCTTGGACCTGTGCCTCGTTCAGGGATCTCAGATAGTCATGGCTATCAGCTTGGAGCTCAGAAAGAAAGAGAAAGATGTACTGGCCAAACAGTTCATGCAGGCTTACATATTGGGGCAAATTACTGAGGCATTAATGATGCCTGGGGGATATCAGGAAGCCTGTATATGCGACTCTGTCTCCACATTTACCCTAAGATCAAGTTGATCCCATGGGATCACCAATGACGATGTCTACCAACGGTTTCCATTCATGGGAATGTCATTGGCTGCAGCAGACGATGTGTTTCATTCACAGAGCAATGAGTACTTGACTGTGAAGAACAATGCAGTAAGGATTGGGACACAGATCATATTAAACAGGTGCTAGCTAGGGCTCATACAGGAACTACGCCCCCTCAGCTATACCCCCTGAATTTTGACTTATTTTTGAGACCAGTCAATCTTCCATGAAAGACCACAGGCAATAAGGATGCTCAATTCCGGTCGGTTTGGAAGCCAGAGTTGCATATATCCTGCTCCAAAGGGTGGGTGCACCTGCCCAACTATCATGCACACATGCAGAAAATAGAACATGCGCCCACACTGTCAGAGGACAGCAAATCACCCACCAAGTCACTGGCAGACAGGCTGTCCAAACCTGTGCACAAAAACACATATGGTGGAAGCAAGATACTGCCTGCTTCCACAATTTCAGGGAAACCACCAACGGAAGCAACAGCTGAGTCAACTTATATCCCTGAGGGCGAGGAGAATACAGTGATATCCATGGATATCAACAAAATGGACACACATAATAACAATATTGATGAAAGCTATAGGAGTAGTAGTCACCAACAAGTCGCTGGAGAGTCCAGATCCCCATGAACATATGGGGGAAAAGAACTACGACAGCGATTACGCAGATGGAGTAGATATTCTCCCCACCTCGCCGCTTGATGATACACAGCTTACCAGTGAGGAGACGATCATGTGAGTGATGGGGTGGAAAATTTCTGCTCCACTATGTTGTGAATGTTTGAATTTTTGATGTAAATGCATGGTATACCTCAAGCAAACCATTGGGACATCTAAGGATGTCAGGCTAAGTGATTTCTTGAAATTCTTGGAAGACTGAGCTCAGTCTTATGCAGGAGAGTGTTGGACGCCTATATGTATAATTTTTCTGTACAGGGACCATCAACATTGTAACAGGCTGTGGGATCATACACCGAGGATGGTGGTCACTCTTTATCAGGAGTCACCAGGAATGTTTATACATATTGTACTTCACTTTTACTCTTTACACTACATAGCCATCTTTAACAATAAAACATTGTTCAAAGTTAGCTTTGTTCTCTTAAGATTAAGAGCCTCAAACCATAGAAAGCTTATGCTTTCTAACACTCATTCAGAGTAACCTTGAGACAGAGGTTGTGCTTATGGACACTGCTGAAGCTCATGCAAATCAACCTCAGAGAAACAAAGCTCAGGGGACTGCCCATCATCATGGTGGCTAGAGTCGGTATTTTATATGACTAATTAAATATTCCTAATTAAATATTCCTAAGAGATGCCCGGGGCTGAGTGAGCAATATGGTAGTGGAACAAGTAAGTTGAACATGAACATCATGGAATGTTCCACTATGTTCCCACACTTTCTGTGAGCTTTGGCTTGCTCAAGAATTATTCCAAAACTTTAAAGGCAATGGACAGTTTGAGGTTTCCACTCTCGTCCTATATTTCTGTGGGGGCTTCAAAAAATCATATTTTGTGTAAAATGGGAAATTTTGTTTCAAAAAAAGAAACAATACATGCATTTTTCAATAGTTTTAGGAATTAACAGCCTAAAATAAATATGAACCAAAAAGGGCCTAACTGGGAATTGAACCCAGGACCTCCTCGAGTCGGATTACATAAACACCCTAACAAGGAATCATACTACTAGACCATCAGGCCGATGTAAGTTGCTGATAGTAATTTAAATTGAGGTGTTTCAACTGTTTCACAGATTCTGTCCAGTCCATTCACCAGTGGTACTTCCTTACCTTACTGGATCATTCAGTAGTGTCTTTTAAGACAACTATTTATCATGGTTAGTGTACTTGCTATAGTGACCAGATCAGTGCTCTATGATGATGCATCACAGTCAGCATCATATGTGACCTATCAGCCAAGGCAGATAGAGACTAGAATTGTGGCCATCATTTACTAGCGCATACCTCAGTCTTTTTTTATTTTCATGCCTTTCCATAATTATTTCAAGATGATCAGATGTTGGCAAACTATGGCTCAGCTCTGTATCAGCCATCAAAAGGCATGGCCAAACATGCTGCTGCCAACCAGCTTGTTCCTATTGGATCTGTTAACTCACTATGCACCTCCCCATCACTCATTGCCACCGCTCCCCTTCTTGCAGGCATTTTTTGAACATTGCAGTTTAAGCCACATATTTGTTTTACTCTCAGTGTTTTACACTGGTGAGTACAGAGGAGGGGTGTAAGTAAGCCTTCGCCTGATCCTCCAAACATCTGTCAAGGTTTTAAGCCTGATCTCGCTTATCAAGAGTTGTTTGCACCATTTGTTGCCAGCAGATGAGTAGTGAGGCAGTACTTGATGTCCACAATCCAGACTAATATCAGTTGATACAGAGGAGTCAAGGTGTGGCACATACAACACACAGATCCTCCAAGTCCATAAGGAGCTGCCATTGAAGCCTGCGGGAATGGTGTAGATTTCCATCCATCATATGCAAGAAAAGGTTCCATAATTTCAGAATATGATTGAGGCCTACAGTTGCGGACAATCAAACACAACAACTGTGATCCTGCTTTTTCGAGTAAAATTTTGGAAAATCTGAGTTCAGAATCAGATTCAGAGGGTCAAAATACCCCCAAAACCAAATTTTCAGAATTTTCCCACAAGAAATGGGGGGTGGCGAACTTTTGGACGGGTTTGAAAAAAATTGTGTGTACCTCTGCAGCCATGTGGGGCAGGAACAAAATAAATTATACACTATGTATACATGCAAAAACACTATTTATGCATCCCAGCCTCCTCCAAATCCCTCAATGTTGTTGCTGAAACCTGTCTGTGGGACTTCTGCCTTCGAACAACCCAAGCTGCAAGTCTGCCGGTCAGCCCGATTCGGTAAGCACTCATGAAACGCCAAGAACGTTGAATAAAACATTGAATGACCTCAGGGGGGCATGCATCTAGGTACCCAGATGCATGATCCTTAGCTTCTTGAAAGCTAGTTTTGGGTGATTGCCGATAGCGATACTTGCACCAACCCCAGTACTAGGGAATGATTTAGCTATTTGATTCATAGAAAGAGAAGTGACTCACCATTTCAATGGGGTTCAATTCACAATGAAACTTTGGAAGGAAAATACACCGCTGACCCCGGCCCACAATTAGGGATTCAAGCATTGATGGCTGGTTGAGAAAGTCATCTTGCTGACTGAGCCAACGTGCCATGCAGCATCCCTTGCTATCCAATGGGCAAACAGGAGCACATTTTGCTTTTCTGAACTTTTGAGTATCCACACCACGCTCTTTGAGTACTTGCTCAAGTCCCTTGGCCTTTCCATTTATTGTCATCTTTTGTATGTTGCCACGTTGTGCAATAGAGGGATTTGACATGGGGATAATTGTGTCTCACTGAACCCGCTGCTTCCCTCCATCCCCCTTGTTCATTTCGAAAGCTTTCAAAGCATCTGGTCCCAGTGATGCATGTGCAGAGGATTGGTCAAACACAAAGAGAGCCTGGCATTTAGGATGTGCCTCTTCGAAAATTGTGATGGCATTATCAACTTGCTCAAGTAGTTGCTTTGTGCCAGGGAAAATAACCTTCCTGGCATCCCGCAAGATTTTTCCAATGGGATCACAGATAAACAGGCGACCAGAAGCCTCAGTAATGAAGTCAGAGACATGTATCAGTCGACCACGGCCTTTCTTTTGCAAGATTGTCTGACCATCCTTGAGCCATGCTCTAGACTTGTAATCATTGGCGTGGAAGCAGCACTCATCATGAAAGAGTGCAATGATCTCCTTCTCCCCCTCCTTCAGTTTTGGAGGCACCTGCTCTAGAGCAGGCCCTTCATATTTTGTCATGAGCTCCTCATACTTTGCCGTAGTTGGTAAGAAGACGTTATTCCGAGAATCCACAACATCAGGGTGTTCATGTCCATCCATGTAAACACCTTTGCGTAAGATTGTTAGGCGCCATCCAAGCTTAATTGGCCAGCGACGTGCAGTGCGCTCACAAAGAGGCTTCTTCAACACAACATCAAGAGCAGGAAGAATGGTGTTGTTGAGAGCATGCTGAAATGTTTTAGGTGAGATACTTCCCACTGGTTGTGCCTCGAGCCAAGTCCTTGCTGCACACCGAACACTCTCCTCTGAAAGAAGGGACCGAGAATCTCGTGCACCTCCTCTCTTTTCCTTGGGGAGATCTTGAAATATTTCAAAATGGTGGATGAGAATGCGCACATGGCGGGCAAAGTGAACACCTTCGCCTTCCTGCCACTGCCGTGCAATTTCAACACTGGCCTGAATGCGCCCAAATCCCTTGAGGGAAAGTGTTGCAAAGTTCCGAATTATAAGCAGTTGATTAACCTGTGCAAGAGGAGTATACTTTTTCTTCGCTAATTTGAGTCTCTTGTCAACAAGGTCACGAATTTCTGTCCAAGACAAGACAGGTCCAGGTCCTGCATGGACTCGTTCATCAAGTTCTGCCTCCCAGTCTTCTTCAAAGGTTGAGCCATCTCCCCCAATTGGCATGGCAGGTTCCGGTGTTGGAGGCCGTGTTGAAATTGGGCTGACGTGAGTTGAAGGTGCAGCAGAGGAAGGCACAGAAGAGGGTACAGATAAATGTCCTGGTGACAAGTCTACAGCTCCAAGTTCAACCTGTGGATCTGCTTCATGGGGAACACCCACATTGATGTTGCTGTGATCATTGGCATCGATGTCAAGGTCCTCTTCTGAGTCAGAACTCAGGTTAATATATTGGGTGGTTGAGCTTGAAGCTTCTGTTCGTGCTGCCTTTACTGGCTGCTGTGTTGCCCAGTTTATCTGCCCCTTTGTGCGGTTTCTCCATTTTGTTTCTCTGAGTGTCCATGCAGCTTTATTAGCCGCCACTGGGCCCGTTGCATAAGTGGGGGCCCGATCTAAGTAAGTGAATTTAATTTAATCCGGCTTCAAAGTGTACTCAGGACACACCTTTCTGATTACGTTTCTGTTTTCTCACTTCCTTTGCAACCTCAGGTGGGACCCAGTCCTTGTCAGTATAGTCATCATCCATTGCAACAGCATATGTGCTGAGACGAGTGCACAAGGCATCATCATAGAGAAGAGGATCAGAATTATCCCACTCAAAGTCATCGACCTCTTCCCATTCATTATCATCTGGTAGGTCTTGTTCTCCATCTGAATTTGCAAAATGTTTGCCAGATTTGTAAACCCCTTATCAGAAAGCCAGCAGTCATCCTTAGGATCAGAGCCATAAGCATCCCCCTCCTGCAGAGGATGCTGAACAGGTATGATAAGACTTGGTTCTCCCTCTGTATCTGTGTTGTTTTCAGTCCCTGATGCAAGTGAGTTCTTTGACTTCTGGTTTCGAAGGCCAGAAATATTGCATCCACCATGGGCTTTTCGACCGTGTGGGGGCATGGTGGTGGAGAGAAGGAGATGAGATGCTGGGAACCCAATTCCTTAAGTATTAATTGGCAATGGTCACATGGGGAGGTGGTGTGAATGAGTCGGAACATCTTTGGTGAAAGTCCGGAGAGTTCAGACTGTCCATCAGTGCCATCAAAACTCAATTTGTGGACGACCGGCTCGAGAGAATTTCTTCTTTCATTTACCAAATGATAGCCCTCGTTGAGAGCTTCAATTTCCGGGTACTCAGAGGCTGATTACATAAGATTTGAGGGGTGGCGGAATTGAGAGGGATCATGGGTATCATTATGTAATTTTTTTCCCAACTTGACGGCATGGAAAATTCACAATATATTCTATACATGCTATTAACAACAAAAAGAATAGTCCCACAAGCTGTTCTGCCAAATAGGAAGTTGTTGTGTTTGACTGTCTGCAACTGTAGCTGCAACACCTGTAGGAAGAGCCATGGGTCCTACTTTCTGCTGATTGATGAACAGTTTTATGTGGGGATGTGATGTATGACTGAGGTGGTAGTTAGAATAGTGGCATGATATTACAGGAGGTAATTACAGTACTGGTGTTATATATCACATAAAGAGCTCCCCATAAGAGGTGATTTGTTTTGACAGCACAGACATGGTGCACTCTCGCCTGTTGTGTATCAACCCATCACTGGCATCAGGGTGCCATCATGCCATCCCAATTAGGCCGCATTCACTGCTCATCCATTGCACATGTTTAAGCAGCCTGCTTGCAGCCCCTCCTTCCTGTGATTGGGTACAACATTTTCATCACAGTCCTCGCCTCGACCCAAATTGAATTGTTGTATGCAAATTGGAGTGTGCAAAATGGAAGCTCTTCCTCTCCAATCAAAGGCCGCGCACATTATTTCTGAAATACATGCTAAGCCGTTCAACTAGACACACTCTGGCCATCTCTTTTGCTTTGGAGCGGGCAAATTATTCAGGCCATGTTCAATATTGCGGCAGCTGTCTCCAGCACAGTAGATCACCACTATTATAACAATGAAGAAGACCTATCCTAGCCAGACTCCGGTCCCTAACTGCCTGCAAGCAATACGGTACCCTTGGCAGGACCAAGTTCGACACTGGTGCCACTCCCACTGTCAATACCTCCAGTACCACTGCCGCTCATAGCACCAAAATCCTGCGCCAAATCCGAATCAGCCAAGACTTCGCACGCCAAGGCTTACTCAAAGGTGAAGCACACCAAAAAGTGCTTCGATGCAAAGCTCTGAGCCTCCAAGAACCTTGAGCACCCAGCAAGAAAGCCTC